GAAATAAGAGTGTAAATATTAAAGTGTATCCCCATTTTCTTACTGTGTTTTAGTTTATGTTCAAGTGTTTTCTGCTTGTGTAATGTGCTGTTAGATTACTTTCACCAATATATGCTTAAATACACTAAAAACCTTTTTTCCTGAACCTGACCTGCTGAAATGGGGGTGCGTCTTATATACCCATGCGTCCTATATGCCATGAAATACAGTATATATATGTAAATGTATAATTGTATGAGATTTAAGCTATTTAGACCAGCATTTGTGTTTTTTGTTATAATTTGTGGTCATTCTGAAATGGAAAAACATAATATATATATTTCCTAATTTTTATGTTGGTTACAAAGTCAGTCAAATCGATCAAACCCATACGGAGAGAAAATAACAGATAAAATGTAAAGTTTTTTCTTAAAAAAAACATTTGATAATTACCTGAAGGCTATAAAGATTTTGTATGTCAAATTTGACAATTTTCTGATGCATAAAAGTATTTTTAATCTTAAAATCAAAATTACTTTGCATGTTGGATAGTCAACATTCAAAAAGATAAAAATATGTATGAGCAAATCATTACTTAAAAAAAATCTTAAAACTTAATGAACAAAATCTAATATTTTGTGTACAAAAGCCTTGTAATGTTTACTGATAACCTGCAAAATTTCATGAAGATACACATGCTGTATTAAAAGGTATATTATGAAAACTATAACAAGCACAAAATGGTTACGAGGTCAGTCCTGGGACCAAGCCCATAGTGAAAGAGTTAAAACGAATATAGAAAATAAATAGCCTAAATGTCTACATTATATTTGTCTTGGATTAAATTTTAGGGTTAACTATTTATACAACACACACACACATTTTTTTATGACAGGAATCACTATCATACACATATACCTGTTTTGTTTGTTTGTAGTTAAACACAAACTACACAATGGACAATTATGCTGTGCTAACGAGTATCAAAACCCAGTTTTTAGCTACATGTAACTGAAAGCTGTACAATTTATAAGGATGAGGGTAGTAAAAAAGAAATGTACGTTACTCTTACATTTAGAGCTTCTGTTTCAGTTGATAAAACAGAAACCAATTCTCCTAGTAGCTCCATAACACAAAGGACACACTGCAGAGTTTCAGCAGCCTCAGGTGACAACACACTACCTGCAACAACCACAAGTGGTCGTGAAAATACATCAATTTATTCATCCATTGCAATGCATTTCATCTGATAAAAAGGAATTGGTTAAATGCTTTTATTGGCACTAGTAATTAAAATATTATATCAAGATTAAATCTATACAAGTACGAAACATAAGTAAATATCCAATTATTGACATTACAAAATCTAGGAAACAATGAAAAAAAATTTTGTTTAGTAGCCTAGCTATACTCTGCATTGTAATGAAGTAGAAAAATAAGTAACTTTAAACTGTACATTTTCTTTTGTTAGGTTTTGTGTCAGGAAGATAAGACATGATTTGACTGAAGTTTAAAAAATTATCTGTGTGTGTGTGGGGGTGACAACTTTATAATGTATTCTGAATATAGTAAGATGAAAGGACACAAGTTTAAGATTTGAGAAAGACAGTCTACTCTTCAGTTAATACAGTTTTACTTTTCTGAAAATTTTAGGCATTCATCTTCTTGTTTTACTGAATACAATATGACACACAAACTGATCAAAATATCTTCTAAACTGATTATAAGTATTGTTTTATTACAAGCTACAACTTTTACAAAAATCAGTTTAAAAAGAGGTATGACATTCTGATCACTGTGTACTTGAGAATGATTGCACCAGTGATTGAAAATTTGTACTTGTTCTAAAAATATTTTCCTTACTGTAAAAGTTGTAACTTGTAATAAAACAAATTCTGTTTTTAATTTCATCACACTGGTAGTTTACAAAGTTTATTCAGAATTATAAACTGATTTATTACATTTCATATTTTACCTGTTTTATTTTGATCGTTCCTTCTTACTATGCGACAGTTTCTTACTTATCTAACAAAGTATTTATTCAACTTATTTTACCACAGTCTGCTAAAGAGTTTACATGCAACTAACCTGGGGAATCTGTTGTTGCCTGTGGACTTGCTTCAATCCAGGTTTCCACAAGAAGAGGCATCAGAACAGTTATGAAATTCTGCACGAATTCTGCATTTTTCAGACATCCTATATCATTTACAGCTACCTTGTGCTGGTTGGACAATGAATATTTAACTGCTAGCTGTGGTTCATGAGCACTATGCTGAAAAACTGAAATTTCTGTTGGTCGAAATCTATCCCAATGAACTTCCAATTCTCCTTCATGAGGATTCATCAAATCTTGTTTCTGAAAACTTGTTAAAGCTGCTTTCAGAAAGTTAGCCACTCTTGTCAAAACTTTGACCCTCCAAACCTGTGAGGTAATTTTGTCTCCAGGTGACACTGCAAGAATCCTGGTTTCTGTAAAATTTGAAGTTGAGCCCAAACTTACAGTTTTCTTAGTTGATATCTGTTCCATAAAGTTGGGCATGAGTCTGTCTGAATAAGAACATACCAAATCTGGAAATTTCTCTAGTAGAAGATCTAAAAGACTAAGCGAGTCATGACGAATATCACTAATAATGTGTGTTAAAGCACAACACAGATAAGAGGTCAGAATAGGAAAAAATGGGATAATCTGTTCAGATTTGATATGACCAAAAATAATGTTCAAAACTTTTAAAACAGCTTTTCTGACAGCTACATCTTTATCAGTAGTCAGTTCTGACAGCTGTTCCACAAGTGAGGCTAAATTACTATCAATCAGTTCAGAATTCTGGGTTAGCAGATCTTTCAGACCCATCAAGGACTCATGGCGTGTTGATGGACTATAGTGTTGTAGTCGGCTTAGTAGGTCCTGTACGTACGAGACACAGGTGTTAGTTGCACCAAATATATCAAAAAACAATGAACAGTTAGTAACATTTTAACAAAACGTTTTGAGTGCGAGTTTCTTATTTGTAGCATACAGTGGTTTTTTATGTGAAAAAGGTTCAGAAACTTTCCCATAGTTACTACAACCTTTTCCAGTTGTTACTCCATCCCATCCCATGTTCATCCTGATCCAAGAGGCTCTCTTATGAAGTTTAAAAATTAGTCATTTAACAAACAAACAATAAAACAGTTTAAGTTTTTCAATAGTACTTGGTTAGCACTGAACATTTGATGATGTGAGTACTATCTATACAGTAAATTAAATAAATAAAACCATTTGATCTTATGAAGAAGAAGAGATTTTTATTTAATGGCTTATTTATGTTTGTTGCCTATATATACTATATATACAGTAAATTAAATAAATAAAACCATTTGATCTTATGAAGAAGAAGAGATTTTTATTTAATGGCTTATTTATGTTTGTTGCCAATTTATTAAACGGTACCAATAAGCTGTTCCAGCATTTTCTGCCAGAAAAAAAGCACTGGCAGCAAACATAGTGGCACAGAAAGATTTTGATGTTGAGGGAATGGGGAAATTGTTAATGAACTCTAAATAATTTTGGCACTATGAAAATAGGTGTGTAAAAAGAGCTATTAAGAGGGGGGGGGGACAGCAATGGATGAGAAAAATGCATTTACCATTCTATAGCAAAATAATTCTAAGTATATTTTGCCACTATTAAATTTTGTTGAGTGTTAACCAAAAATAATATAAATCTTAGAGCCATCTTCATAATTCCATTACAAATTCCCAATTTCATGGAAAGATGAACTAAAACTATAATTTAATAACGTACTTGTCATGCAGCTGTGCATGAACATGAAGGAAAATAAACTAGATCTTCATAACTTGGTTGTTTGGTTTTTAGTAGATTCTATTTATCACACAAAAATTTTAGAATGAGTGCTCAGTTATTCACAGCATTATGGATGAAAATTAAGGATACATTAAAAATACATCATATGAGAAAGTTGAAATAAAGATATCCAGCTTATTGATGTCATGGAAAATATTTCCTGTCTACACTTACATAGACATTCATCTCATTGAGTATTAAGACTGTCAGATAGTTAATTTCTAAGTAAAAAGACATTTACATACTAAAGTACCACATTAATGTATACAGTTTTATTAATCAATAAGGTTTTTAGCTATTTTAAACAGCTCTTTGTTGGGTGGAATTACAACAACAACTGAAAAAAAAAGTTTTTTAAAACATTTTTTTTGTTAGTGTTGTAATTCTATATGACAAACAGCTGTTCAATTTTAAAATAGTTGCAAATCTTATGGTTTAATATAACGTTATATTTTAACATGGTCTTTAGCCTGCAAGTTTCTTTTTGTGCTGTTACATACCACATATAAATTGCATTAAAACAGTAATTTCTGTTTGTTAGACTGTGAGGTGTTATTGTCAAACTGTTAGACCACACTTCATCTTAGTCTGAAAATTAGACTTAACAACTAATTACCTACTTCTCAAACTACCAGTTTCTTTCTATTTAGTTTTAGAATCCTGATCGTCTGACTTCTGAAAGCTCCAGTATGTATCCTGATTCTATATTACTTAGTATACCCTTTCAGTATCAGTGTAATTTGATAAGGCTTAAGTTAAGGTTCCTAATTACGTATTTTATATTAATAAGGCGTAAAACTTTGGAAATGAAATAAAAAGCAGAGAATGTAATCCTGGAAAGTCTTCCATACTATCACACTGGCCACCAGGTTTAAAACTTAGAAGTAAGCGAGACACTCGAGAGTAGACTAGGGTTAGGAAGTCTATAAAATAATAAACTATAAAGTAATGTATTATGTAATTGAAAGCTTAAGAGTGGCTTTGTTCAAACTTAGGCCTACACCATACCTTAACAGTTAATTTTCTATGAGTCTTTGGTTCCTCAGTGTTGGTAAGTTTAATTTGAAAAGGCACGGCAATCTTCCTCGCCTTGAAACTTGTGTCAGTTACATTTGTTCCTTTTGGGAGCTTTCGGCCAACCTTAAATTTGACTTTTTGGAAATCTTGATTTTTTCTTTTCTTTCCCATGCTGAGGTGTTAAGTTTTGTTTATATTATACCTTATAAGCCATGATAATAAAGGTACGTATACACAAGGCTAATACTATTGCAATGTCTATGTTCGTAAAAGAATTTAACTTTTTAAGGAACAACAATGTCAAAGATGATTGTAATTTGTAGTGTACGCACCGTTTGATATTGGTTACTCTGGCGACAAAGATATTGTACTACAATAGTATAAATTTAAATATATAGGAAATTTTATAGGGATAAATTGAATCCAACTAGTTAAATTAAATATCATTTTCTTTTAGTAATGAAGATTCAAGCTAATTTATTATTTATTTTTGCACTTTATTTATTTTGAAATTAAGTGTTATTCAAAGTCACGTTTTGAAACTCACTGATAATAGTAGAGCATTTTTATGGAATAGTGTAACGGACTAAAACAAAACGCCACTACAACCAACATATAACTACTCCCGGTAGTAGATTTAGGATATGGTCGCGTCATATCTTTTCCTATTATATCACCGGGTTCCATAGTCTAGTGCTTTGCTTAAATTCTTCTGACTGTTTCTGATCAAATATGGTGGTTTGACAGACATGGCATGACAACACGTAATTTTTAATGTCCTGTTTCATACAAGGCCAATAACCACGTCTGAATACTTTCTCTATGGTTTATCTAACACCTAGATGACCAGCCATAGGATGATCATGCAGTTATATTAACAACATCAGTCTCAATGTTTTAGGATTAACTGATCTGAATTCACCATTGCTGCAACCCTTTTTGTGTAATAAAGAACATTGTCATTCAAGACATAATGTTTAGATATATTTACAATCTCCGTAACTCTAGTAGAATCACCTGACAACTGTCTAATTTTCGATTAAGAGTAAATACATTTACACTCATCATCTTTAGCTTGTTCACAATCCAAATGTTCTCGAGTGCTAACGATGACAAAATGTTTAGGTGATAGCTTACTGACATACAAATCTGGAGTTTCTTTTTCTTTTTCGGTAAGATGTCTAAATAGGGCATCAAGTAACTGATTCTTTTTTTCCCTTTTTGTGAAGTACTTCAAATGTAAAGTCCTGGAACTATAATGACCAATGCATCAGTCTACCAATTAACTTTCAAACCAGCATGGTCAGTGATCACTGTAATAGTAAACTGACAAACAACGATTTATAAGCATAATAAAGTGGTAAACTTTTAGGGAACATACTACATGTTTCGAAAAAAAATTGGTGAGAAGAAGACACGTAGTATGTTCTCTCAGGATAAACTCTTCATTACGCTTCCAAATCGTAATTTGTTTCCATACATAAGTATTCTTGTGGAATATTAAATGTCAAAGCATAAAATATGACCTTCTAATACTGATAATAACAATAATTTTGTTTTCGCATAATGTGGTGTATCAGCCAACCCTTTTTCAATCTATTTTATACTTAAGTTTTCCATTTACTTGTACGTTGGCGTTTATTTCATTTTTGATTTTTTTTATACGTATTCTGTAAATTACAAGGGTAATGTGTAAAAAAAAAAAAAAAGTTTTGCACCGGCCAAGGCAATATTGAAGTCCGGTCACACACATTGTTAGTGTGCAGTCCAAGTAGCGTGGCATCATCCCTACTTTCGAACCAGGGAGACACCCGCTTAGTTGCTTATCAATTATGTGTACCTAATTAATTATTTAATAATAAATTTTGTTCAAATTTGTTTATTATTTTTAACGCCAAGTACTCAATATAAATAGAAAATAAGATAATTTAATTTTATGCTTATACTGTTGTTATACGTTTGAGAAGTTCGGCACAGACTCTCCTCCATTCAATAATTTCCTGAAATCGCACTAAAACGTCAAATCAATAGATTTAAATAGCAAACTGTCATTTCGTCTTTAGAAAGACGTTGTAAAACAACTAAGCTAAATTCCTCCTTTTCTAATGCTCGCCCCCCCCCCCAATGGCACAGCGGTATGTCTGCGGACTTACAATGTTAGATACTCGTGGTGGGCAGAGCACAGATAGCCCATTGTGTAGCTTTGTGCTTAACTTCGAACAAACAAACAAAATCTTAATGCTCGAGCTATGTGATACATTGTATATCATATTATACGTTAAATACGAATGAAATAGTTTATGTTATGTGGTATACTTTAAATGGTCTAATAATTATGTTATGATCTGTTATGCATGAACATTAAAATTTCACCAAAATTAGTACGTCTGTGTTAAAGTAACTATCGTTCAGAAAAACTAAAAATTCAAACAATTAAAATATGTACCTGCATTCCTAGACTTAACATTGTCACTTTAGTCCTAGAAACCTAAAAGTATGAAATCCGAACTGAGCTTCTAAAAAAAACCGGGTTAAATGATAGATAAATACAGGGCCGGATTAAGGCCAACTGATGCCCTTAGCACAGCCAAACAATGGTTTCCCCTCGACCCTTCCATTGTCTAACTGACAAGACATTAAAGAGTCAATAAGTGCTGAATGTGAAATAATAGATGAAAAAATCAGTTTTCTTCCAGGCCAGACCCCACAACTATATTAAACATAACCTGTTTGTAATGTAAACTGCAGATTACAGCTCTCAATAGTTTACAACACTCAATAGCTATATCAAGATACAGACCATCACATACCTCTACTGGCAGTGGCTGCCGCACAACTGTCACTAACTCACGATAGAGGGAGCCATTGAGGTTGCTCCGTGTGGCAGTTGCCAGATTCCAATTTTGTTGTATTCCCAAGTTTAAAATATATCAGTAACCTCTTCAATACTATTATTGATAATATTCTTGTTGAATATGTATATATGTGTTTTGTTTTTTCATTTATTGTGTGGGCCCCCTTTTTGTGAGGCCCTAGTTCATCTGCACCATGGTAAATATACTTTTATTACCTAACCTTCTCTAGCATCTCCTCCTGTTTTCACTTCCCTGATGGATCTGGGTTTGAGGTAAGTATACTTTTATTACCTAACCTTCTCTAGCATCTCCTCCTGTTTTAACTTCTTTCCTTGCTCTAGGTCTGAAACAAGAGCATACTTCTGTTGCTTCCTCTAGCATCTTCTTCTATTTTCAATACATAATATACTTCTTTTGCCTAGGGTTATTTTAGCATCTCTTACTATCTTAAGTTCCTACTTGGATCCAGGTTTGTGGTAGTAAATTCATTAGTTGAAAAGTGACTTGAGAAGATACGTAAATTTAAGTGACGTTAAATATTAATCACAGTTTAGCATTTTGTTAAGTTTAAACCACTGTCTGAAGGTGTATAATTTGTAGGATTAAAGTTAGTTAGAATTCAACGCTTAGTGACAGAGATGGGTGTATCTGTCTATTGGATGGGATACAGGTAGGAAGTTTGCTAACTATAAACTTACCCTTCATTAGAGTAAGATTGAACATCTGAAGTATTGTGTATTCTACTCATGAACAAATGAACAGTTCCCCAGTTGTACAGCGGTATGTCTACGACCTTACAACGCAAGAAACCGTGTTTCGATACCCGTGGTGGGCAGAACACAGATAGCCCATTGTGTAGCTTTGTGATTACTTACAAACAAACAAAAAAAATACAAACAAGCAAATGAATAAAATGGAGTGAGATTTTCTTCAATCAACTTTGGTGTTAGATCTGGTAGTTCCAACCATGTTCATTCGTTTTCGCCGTTTCTTGAAGTTTTGAAGATGTGAGCCCACAGTCTGGGCTAATTTGAAGACGTGAGCCCTCAGTCTGGGCTAATTTAGGGAGAAAAATAGTCCTACTCTATTCTATGTTTTAAGGTTATATCACAGTAACAATTCATTAGTTATTGAAAATTGTACACCCTAACAGAAAACAGAATAACAAACTTATTTAAACAACATGTACAGGCTGGCGTGGCCAATTGGTTAGTTTACCCGAACTGTGAATCAGAGAGATCAGGATTAGCTTTTCATTTCCGCAAAAACGCACTCAGCACTTTGGGGCAGTGGTTGCGCTTTAAGAGTGATGTTTAAATTCCACCATCTGGTCAGACAAGAATTAGCAGATGGGGCTGTTCTCTTTTGTCCATGGGCGCCCGCAGGAAGGGGCAAGAGGGGACATTTGTTCCCCTACATTTCGCAAAAAAATTTACGCATTACGATGTAAGCTTAACATCGTAGTTAAACTAAATATTTTTAGTAATATTTATTAAAACTGTAGATTTGTGTTTGCGTTTAAGCACACATAATACATTCATTTAGTCTATTGACTTACATTGTAAAAGCTGATCCCCTACATGCATGTTTTGCCTCCCACCCCCTAAAATATTTCTGTGGGCGCCCATGCTCTTGTCTAACTATTTAAAAGTGGGGATCGAATGTATATAGTCCTTGTGTAGCTTTGATAAAGATATATTAGTACTTAAGGTAAAATCTGACTTATAAGGGTAGTATTTGCTCTACATAATTTGTCACTAATTAAAAATGGTTTACTCTAATAAAAAAAAAAGTATTAATTTCATTATTGTAAATGATGCCATGAATAACATTTCTATGTATTCTCAGGGGCGTTTTTCAAATTGAAATATATCATTTATTAACACTCATAAAACTAGCAATGCAATTTGTATTGTTTGTTCTATTTGTTGATGTTTCCATAAGATTTAAAATTTTGAAGGGTAGATATATGAAGGGTAATCCTTAAAAAACAAACGTTTTCCCGTGTTATTGATTTTAACATTCTATTTGACATGTTCCTTCAAGTTTAGAGGAATTGATCTCCATCTGAAACAAATAACTTTATGCGTCAAATAGACTTAACCGTTCTATCTAAAAAAATAATATCTATGTATTTAAAGAGGCGTAACCATTCCATCGCAAATATAAATAGTTTATATGTCAAAAAGGCTTAACCGTTCCATCTATGAAGCAAATTGCGAACTTTCATCAAATATTCTTGTGTCAACTAATCAGCTGATTTGTAAATAAATCACAGCTACTACATGTGTTTAGAGTTTTTAAGATGTTTAATCCAGACTTTCCACCACTAAGGCACAGGTCGGAAACAACACATCTATGGCTCTACTTAAACTATGAGAAATATATATACACTCGGTTTACTTTGAGACTTGACACCTTGCGGATAATAGTTCAAGTAACAAATAAAAATAAGTTTCAAAAATCTCATCTACTCGACACAGACGAATATAAAATATACCTAATATTCTCGACAACAAACACACTTTTGACATTTTCAACCGCTGGGTTACACATTGATTTCATGGACTTTAAAAACTTGAAACTGTATGTACTATAGAAATATGAAGACATTCTCCGTTCGATACTCACGCAGATAAAGCTGTGATTGATTTGATAAGGGCTGGTTTTAAGATTTCTTTAAAAAATTATCTTTTTTAATAGTTTAATGTAGAGGATAGGAAAGTCGAGATGGACCAATAGGTCTCTTGTTGTCCCTAAACATTATGTTATTTTATGATGTAAAATACTTTTTAATATAGAATTTTGAACCAGAATTAGGAGTGGTTTACTTTTGCTTATTGAAAGAGAGCCAAATAAAAGACCTTTTTGTCTTCATGTCTTGAAACAGGTTACATCAAATAATCTGTTTATGTTATAAAAGTTCTATTATGTTTTTATAAGTTAATATAATTGTAGGTTCAAAGTACAGGAACAAATTGAAAATCCTCTTTTACGTCCACAAAACATTTTCACTTTTGTTTATTAACTTGTATTCCCTTAAAAAGGTGCGAAGATTAATTTTTATATAGGTTTATAATCTAAAAGACATTTTTCTTGGGATGATGTTTGGCACGTAATCTGTGACGTATGGTGTCACGAGCTATGACTGACAGTAACAATCAAACACTCAAGGTATACACGTCCTCACCTCCTTAAACATATATTTGTAATATATATTAAAATGTTTGATGGCTAAATTTCATTAACTAATTTCTAGCATTTAACCTATACTTTAGTGTTTTAAAATTGAGCTGACAAAAAACAAACATTTGTTAATTTTTAGAATTCAAAAATAAAATTATTCACTCACAAAGAAATCTTCGAAAACATAAAAAAAAACCGTTTAGACATATATTTATATTAATAAGTACTTTCAGTCACAAGAAGTTATCAAATCATTTGATGTTGACGATGATTGAACGATAGCCATGTTTAAAATAAGTATAGACAAAAAAACAGTTAATTTTAATGTTGAAAAATGTGGATCCCTTAAAATGTTAGTCGAAAAAATATTTGAAAAAAAAGTTACTAACGTCTCTACTTCACAATCATTTAAAACAATGCACGTTCATTTCAGGACTTCACTCTCAAATTAAGGCACTCCTGTCTGAAAAATTAAACATAAAATGAACCATATGCTTTGCCACCAGCTATATTCATTATATTCACAGCTTTCAAATTCGATGAAGATTTGATAGTTCTTCAACAGTCAGTTCCGCTTACTTCTATATGTTTCTATACAATAGATCAGACAATCAACAGTCAGTACCGTTTACTTCTATATGTTTCTATACAATAGATCAGACAATCAACAGTCAGTACCGTTTACTTCTATATGTTTCTATACAATAGATCAGACAATCAACAGTCAGTACCGTTTACTTCTATATGTTTATATACAATAGATCAGACAATCAACAGTCAGTACCGTTTACTTCTATATGTTTATATACAATAGATCAGACAATCAACAGTCAGTACCGTTTACTTCTATATGTTTATATACAATAGATCAGACAAGAGCTGTAACCTTTATGGGAGTCCGCTATTGGGACGTGATAAATTACGGATTTACAACACTAAAATCAGGGGTTGGATTTCCCGCGGTGGACATAGCAGATAGCCCAATGTGGCTTTGCTCTATAACGAATAAACCTATCCAAGAAGGGTTGACAGAGGCAGATGGCGAGGTCTCGCTGACCAATGTTCCCAATGGAACGGGAGGAACTAAGACTAAGACTTAAGAAGAAGGGTTACTTTGGTTTCTTTTTGAAAGCTTTGAACAGGGATCGGTTTTGTAGGTGTTGAAAAGCAGACAATTTCACTTGCTCGGGCTTCTTTCCTAAAATGTTTTTTGGCTGTTTTTTGTTCTCGTTGGAACCTAACTTTGAAAATTTTGTGTTCTTACATTGATTGATCTTTGACTCGTTGAGGTGTTGATGGTTTTTATGCTGGGCTACTTCCTTGATTGACTCATTATTCTTTCCTTGACCAGTAGACCTGGACGTCACGTCTTCGTTAGATGTCAAGTAAGTTTCGATGTGCTTACCTCGAGCTCTTGTCTTACACATACTGTTCTCCACACTTCCTTTCACGTCTACCAACTCGTCAATTTCAGGAATGGGGAAGAGATCCGCAGGCCGGCACAGTAACGACCCCTGTCGACGCCGGCGGTAACTTGAAGAAGGACGTGTGTGATTTTTTTCGACATCTTTAGATGATGGTGATAGCAGTGCGATATCTCTTGTCGTGCTTTTATTTGAACATCGTTGATACTGATTTGTAACAACAGGTTTAAGTGAACGGATTACTGGCTTATCCGGAGACGTAAGAACTAATGGCGGGATGCGACGTGTCGACGGTGGAAATGTTGGGTCCACTGCAACTGAAATTTTATTTTTTTGTACTTATGAGTCAACGGTTTTGATCGGGATTTATCGAGAATTATCGAAGGGGCAAACAGGTCTCCTGGTTCATTTAGCATTTCACGAACGGAAGAGAAGGTACTCATGGGTGTTGACAGCTCAGTGTCCCGATGTGACCCGGACTCTGAAAGAGACGTGCTCCGGACGTGAGAGATCTGCTTAAGTCGGAGGATCTTGGTCCGACACACGACGCAGCGAAGTGGCAGGACGCGCTGAGAGACAGCAGTCTGAATGGTCTTTACGAAACATTTTCTACACACTACGCAGTGGCCACACGGGAACGTCTGCATGGTAGCTTTGGCATTAATACAGATGGCACACTGTAACGAAATGAAATCGGAGTTCATAAGTGCTTCGGTGCATCAAATACACTGATCTGTAAGGTTAAATAAAACACCCTTGAATTTTATACAAAGTTTATTTATTTTAGTAAATACTTGAATTTTACATGGTATACGATGAAAAAAAAACAGTACACACTCAAGGATAAAGGTGGATTTTATATGGATTAGTTACAAAACTGTACACACTGAAGGATAAAGATGGATTTTATATGGATTAGTTACAAAACTGTACACACTGAAGAATAAAGGTGGATTTTATATGGATTAGTTACAAAACTGTACACACACTGAAGGATAAAGGTGGATTTTATATGGATTAGTTACAAAACTCTACACATTGGAGGGACCTTTATCCTTCAGTGTGTACAGTTTTGTAACTAATCCATATAAAATCCACCTTTACCCTCCAATGTGTACAGTTTGTAACTAATCTATATAAAATCCACCTTTAAGATTTTATATGGATTAGTTACAAAACTGTACACACACTGAAGGATAAAGGTGGATTTTATATGAATTAGTTACAAAACTGTACACATTGAAGGATAAAGGTGGATTTTATATGGATTAGTTACAAAACTGTACACACACTGAAGGATAAAGGTGGATTTTATATGGATTAGTTACAAAACTGTATACACACTGAAGGATAAAGGTGGATTTTATATGGATTAGTTACAAAACTGTACACATTGGAGGGTAAAGGTGGATTTTATATGGATTAGTTACAAAACTGTACACACTGGAGAATAAGATGGATTTTATATGGATTAGTTACAAAACTGTACACACTGAAGGATAAAGGTGGATTTTATATGGATTAGTTACAAAACTGTACACACACACTGGAACGTTTGTTTTTGAATTTCGCGCAAAGCTACACGAGGGCTATCTCCACTAGCCGTCCCTAATTTAGCAGTGTAAGACTAGAAGGAAAGCAGTTAGTCAACCACCGCCAACTCTTGGGCTACTCTTTTACCAACGAATAGTGGGATTGACCGTCACATTATAACGCCCCCACGGCTGAAAGGGCGAGCATGTTTGGTGTGACGGGGATTCGAACCCGCGACCCTCAGATTGCGAGTCGAGCACCTTAACTACCGGGCCATGCCGGGCCTACACTGGAACGTAATGGTGGATTTTATATGGATTAGTTACAAGAATGTACACAGTGGAAGATAATGGTGGATCTTATGTGGATTAGCTTGAGACTTAAGAACAAAAATTGCAGTCCGAAATCCGTACCGGCGTAAAAGCAATAGTGAAACTAAGAATTTTGAAACTATAAATTGTAGATCTGTGTTTTGTTGTTTAGTTTTGTAAATTTCGTATAGTTGAAAATTAACGGACTTCGGGTAGCTAATACGCCCCTGGTGGCTTAGCTGTAAGTCAATAGGATTATAATGCTAAAAATTGGGCTTCGATACCTTCGGTATGCAGAGCAAAGATAACCTATTGTGCAGCTTTGTGCTTTATAACAAATAAATAAGTCTGAATATACAGAATTATATTTGGAAAATGTATTAAGTTTTTTCCTCCTTTATACGCTATAATGATGTTAAAAAGCATGACATAATTATAGTTTTAGCTGTTCACAAAGCACGTATTTTCAGATGTAATTCTGTCGGTAACCACGTGATTCCACGCGAACAGATGTTTCTATTATGTCCACTACTCGGTGTCTCACTACCTGACCTACTAATGATGATTTAAAAATCGTAGCTTTATTGGATTCTAACTAATTTAAACTCGCACTGACTTTGTAAATCACATGGATGACAAACCAATCTTAATAGTGAAAACAGTGTGTAATGGCAGGAACTCACCTCTTCATCACGTGATCTTGCAAGTTCTGGTTCGTTTCCCTCAAGTTTTACCAAGAGTTTATCCTAAAAAACAAAACAAAAAAAAAACATTACAGGTGATAGGTGCCTTTATATCGCCTCAATTTTCATAAAAAAAGTGATTCATATATTCAAAGAGCGCAAACATTACTTTTTATCTAGTTTTAAACAATACATTCACGACTAGTTCCCCGGTAAGTCAGCAGTAAGTTTATGGACTTACAATGCTAAAATCCGGGGTTTGATTCTGCGCAGAGAGCTTAATGTAGCTTTGCTTTGAAACAAACACCTAAGCTTGTTTGTTTGTTTTAAGTTAAACACAAAGCTCCACAATGGGCTATCTGTGCTCTGCCCACCACGGGTATCGAAGCCCGGTTTCTAGCGTTGTAAGTCCGCAGACATACCGCTGTGCCACTGGGGGGCAACACCTAAGCACGAATATTAATATACAAATAAAAATACAACATTAAATTATAGTTTCAATTTTACCTTTGGCGAAAATAAATCTGTAATATACTCATTAAACAGTTGGTCCACTGTATATTATCGAATAATGAATTGGGCGCAATGCCATAGTATTACTTACACACCTAAGCTAATATAAATTACTATATAGTGGGTTGAAAAGGACTCACAAACCACATAAATCTTACATATTGTTATGTATCTGGTTATTTGATAATTTCCGGTAGAAATTCTATCCGAGAAGATACGCCCCCTAGTGGCACAGTGGTATGTCTTCGGACTTACAACGCTAGAATCCGGGTTTCGATACCCGTGGTGGGCAGAGCACAGATAGCCCTTTGTGTAGCTTTGTGCTTAATTACAAATAATAATAAACCGAGAAAATACAAGTCATTTCTTGATTAAAACTAGTTTATTCTTTCTCGATACAAATTTTAGTAATACACAAAATTCCCACAGTGACTTTAAACTTAACAACCTTTATAACACACGCTATAAATCACAGCGATTCACACACTTTACTTACGGTGCCTACTGTTCGCTTGATTCAATTATCTATCTCTTCAATAAATCTACATATCTATCTATCGCTGGCTTTATTTTCCAGGCTTATATACTAAAAAAGAGGGCGCCTGAAAAAAAAAACTCGGACATTCGCGGATAATTCATGATCCTTCGAGAAACTACAGCACGCATGCTCCTAGCGTCGCGTGACTTCCGCTGTCGTAACAATATGCATTACAATTATAAGAGGCCTAACTGTATTTCTTTGGCTTGTTGTCCCAAGTTGTGCTGTTGAGCCTTGAATAGGCTAAACTATTGTTCACAGCAGAGGGTGCAGCGAATCAAAGAATTTATTAGGCCTTTATATCACAGATGATATTTTCAATTTTACTTTTGATGAAAATAACTTTGGAATATAATCATTAAACAGTTGGTCCACTGTATGATACTGATTAATAAATTAGGCGCAATGCTATAATATTATTCACATAACTAAATTAATTTAGGTTGTTCTATGGTCACCGAATGTTAAAGATTTCAAATTAATAAACATTGCGTTTGGTTACCTTATTAAGTTACCTTTACTGAGCTCGTAATGAAGTGTTTCATCACATTATTAAGTTAGGTTTGATTTAAGTCAAAAAGTGGTGTTTTCTTTTTTACATTATGGAGCTAAATTACAATTGTATTCAAATTACAATACCAAATCAGCGTTAATTTGTTCAAACTATTTTGACTTTCTTACGAGGACTGTGACAAAAAAGCACAGTATTATGTTCACAAAAAGATTAGTAAATTCACAAACGGTAATGATTTCACTCAGAGGGCCGCGTTGATATCACTCCAAAATCAAAATTTTCGATTTTGAAATATTTACGTTTGTTTGTTTGTTGTTAAGCGCAAAGCTGCAAAATGGGATGTCTATGCTGTGCCTACCACGAGTATCAAACCCCAGATTTACTGCTGAGCCACTGGGAGGGGGCAAATTTTTGTGTATAAAATTGAATAAATACTACTTTTTATTGAATAAATTTTAATTCTGAACTGATTATATTACAAAATTCTTTTCACCAAAGGTTATTGTTGTTTGTTATTAAGCACAATGCTACACAAAGGGCTACCTGTGCTCAGTCTACCACGGTTATCGAAACCCGGTTTCTAGCAGTATAAGTCCGCAGACATACTGCTGTGCCACTGGGGGCTTCACCAAAGGTAAAATTGAAAATATAATCTGTGTTATACAATTTACTAATTAATTTAGGTTTTACTAAATTGTGACTTAAAAGAACTTTAAAACTCCATAAATATTCAACTCTGTATGTTTGTTTGTTTGTTTTTGAATTTCGCGCAAAGCTACACGAGGGCTATCTGCGCTAGCCGTCCCTAATTTAGCATTGGGAAGGCAGCTAATCATCACCACCCACCGCCAACTCTTGGGCTACTCTTTTACCAACGAATAGTGGGATTGACCGTCACATTATAACGCCCCCACGGCTGAAAGGGCGAGCATGTTTGGTGTGACGGGGATTCAAACCCGCGACCCGCAGACTGCGAGTCGAGCGCCCTAACCACCTGGCCATGACAGGCTCAACTCTGTAGTATTTCTTTATTCTCTTAATGATTTTAACGAGTTTTTGTTCTGTAATTTGTTTAATTCAATGGTGTCTTTAAGGTAGAATGGAGTCCCCCGGTGGCTCAGTGGTAAGACTGGGGGCCTATAGCTCCAGAAATCGGGTTTCGATACCCGTACTGGGTAGAGCACGGACAGCTCTTTGTGTAGCTTTGCGCTTGACAACAACAGTCGTGAGGGTGGAATGGACCCAGCGGGGCATCGTGATAGAGTTAATATTTCAGAAAGTCTTGGAATAATATGATATCAGGAAATGTGGGCTAATATTCAGAACCTTCTAATCAGCGCAGTACAGCTACGTGAATTTTTTTCATTGCTCGCATGATGAAGTAACACCTACTCCAATCCTAACCTTAATTCCAAACTGCTTGTTAAATCTCATTTTACAGGCTGAACTGACGTCATCCAGTTGGTAACCAGTAATTTCAGGAATCATTAAATGGTAACATATATTTAAATTACTGCACATAATTGAGGTAAGATTGTTTTTACTACTTTTATATGCATGTTAAATGGAATGAAATAGATTTAAACTACTTAACTTCCCTTTATGCTTAAATTTGACATTTAAAAACGATATATATATATTCAATTGTACTAAATTAACATCCAAGTACTAAAGTAAATTTATAAAAGAATATATACGTTAGAAAAGTGAAAAAAAAATCAAGCATCGTGCCTTCAATGCTTTGCGTTACTTGGGCGTATAATTACATCTAATGGAAGGCTAGCGGAGATTGTGATGGGTAAAAATGGAAGGAAGAAGGGGATAGGCAGGCAGATTCGATGACGTTAGGAACAGGGTTGAAGATGAGAAGCTTGAATTAGAAAAGTTGGTGTAGGCAGTGAGGAACAAAAAACAATGATAAACATAGTCGTCGATCTTCAGGATACCTTGGTTGATTCAATCGCTCAATATTTAAACCAGCCAATAAAACTGTTGAAAACAACCCCTGTAAAACTGTATATTCTGTATTACTACTAGATTTCGCAAAGAAGCTACGTAAGCCTAACGAGCAAGAAAGCTTTAATTTATTAATAAGAAACTATAATAGTGACAAATATCTTAGCTCTCTGTGGCTGTTCATAGCGTTTGAGATTGAAAAAACATTATTGGCTGGAGGAGAATTGGTGTATGTTCACCGAAAAACACAGTAACACCCTGCACGAGGAGGACACCCTTTCGCTTCCTGATAGATTTCGGGTACGTGCTTGCGGAAGACACGAGAATTTTGGAACATTTGTTATTGTTGACAAAATTTAAATGATGTCAGAGTGCCTTTTCGAAGCATACGGCTGTCTCTTTCAGTTATGTATTTAATACGACATATGTTCTTAATTATCGTCTGCCCAATAGCCAAACCGAGTTGACTTCCTCGTCATTGGGGTGGGGGGTTTGAAGGAGTTAATCATTAGAAACAAAAATTATTAGAGATAGCTAAACCCTGTATTATAGTTGACTTCCTCGTCATTGGGGTGGGGGGTTTGAAGGAGTTAATTATTAGAAACAAAAATTATTAGAGACAGCTAAACCCTGTATTATAGTTGACTTCCTCGTCATCGGGTGGGGGGTTTGAAGGAGTTAATCATTAGAAACAAAAATTATTAGAGACAGCTAAACCCTGTATTATAG